GTATGAGTCTCGGTTCCACATATACAGTTCTAACAAGTTCGACAAAGTGCTTGAAAAACGCAACATGTTGGGGTGATGGAGCCTTGTTTCTAGTCAGCCTTGGTTAGCAACCTCTGTGTCCAAAAGGAAATTGCATTAGGCAGTGAAAACTAGTCATGATCTGAGCAACTAGAATTACAGCACTAGTGAATGTTTGTGCCAAATGTGAAAGAATTCCCTGAGGGTGTTTCGGACAAGGCAAAACATTTGCTTTGTGAGGTTACAGTGACCTTGACCATTGACCTTTGGCTACCAAAATGAGTGTGTTAATCCTCGACTCCTAATGTTTGTGCCAAATGTGAAAGGATTACTTAATGTTGTCCCCAGATATCACCTTCACAAGGCAAAAAATGTGCTTTATGAGGTCACCGTTAACTTAAACTTTGACCACCAAAATCAAACAGTTCATTCTTGAGTACAAGTGAATATTTGTACCAAAATTTGAGGACAGAATTATTCTTGCGAAATCTTGTTTACAGGAATGGGACAGACAGATAGACGTCATACATACATATGGACAGGCAACCCGAAACATAACTCCTCTGGCCACTGGCTATCGCTGGCCCGGAGGCATAAAAATAATTTTTACTTATTAGCTTCTTCCGTTTTCTAAAGGTAAATACAGTCTAAAAGGTTAAACTCTGAGACAACTGAGGGCTGCAGCATGTCAGTGTGGCTACCTGGTTTGATGTAACACAGAAGTGTGAAAGGTCCCAAAACACAGGAGTTTCTCATTTATTCAACTCCTGAGTAAAGCATACTACATTAAACAGTTACACTGTGATGAAGCTGTCAAGTTTACCCCATTAACACAATTTAAAGTCTGCCTGTCTGTGTGTGTGTGTGTGTGTGTGTGTGCGTGCGTGCGTGCGTGCATGTGTGTGTGTTTGTGTGTGTGTGTGTGTGTGTGTGTGTTTGTGTGTGTACGTTTTTAACTCAGTCCACTCTAGTCCAGGTCATGCCAGACTCCATGGGGACACAATTAAGTCTACAGGCTGTCACTGTCACAGATATCAGCTGTGTGTGTGTGTATGTGTGTGAGCTTTCTGTAGTAAATAGGACAAGACACAGGGGATAATGCAGACAGTATTCTGCATTAGACCAGACACAATGCCGCAATACATAAGAGGAATACACTCATCTTTACGTAGTTTAAATGAGCTTCACCAGCAGGGTTATGCACCAATTCCTTCAAAAGTTTTAGGCGATTTCACATTGTTAAAGGTACAGTGTGTAGAATTTAGTGATATCTAGTGGTGACGTTTTTCTGTTGCAGCTGAACACCCCTCACCTCACCCTCCCCTTCCAAACATGAAAAATAACCTGTGATAGCTTCAGTTGTCAAAAAAACTCAAAAGGTGTTTAGTTTGTCCAGTCTGGACTAATGTAAGAAACCATAGAGAGGGTCCCCTCGAAGTAAATATAAAGTATTTAAATATAAAGGGCCTTTTCTGGCGTAAAGAAAACTTCTATTGATACAATTTAGATGAAACAAATTAGTAAAAACATCATGAGGATTATTCTACATGCCAATAGTTCCCTTTCACCTAAATCTTTCACACTGGACCTTTAAGTAGTCAGACCTGGTCAGCAAACCTTACATAGTTTGAAAACATATTTTCATATCACTCAACAGTTTGAGAACCCAATGGGAAGCCTTGTTCCCGATACCAGCTAAACAGTACGTACTGTGATTCTGGTATAAAAGGGAGAGTTAAGCTCTTTCTTAAGGAAAACAGTAAGTGTCAGTACAGAAAACTGTGACTCAATCGTCACAACAACCTGAAACATAAAGAGCTTTTGTGGATAAACAAGATAACAGGATGTCAGTGGTGTGGAGATACTTTGGCTGGAGTTTAATTTGGCAGCAAGGGGAATGAGACGAATCCTGGGCTACTTGAAGCCCAGTTGCTGGGACACCAAGGGTGGAAGACTGCATAAAGAGATATTCTTTGCCTGGACAGCAGCTGCAGAGAAAAATCCATGTCTAATTTTCAGAGGTCTGACTCCAGGTGGTGGATTTCATTCCTTAACTGAGTCAGCAGAGTTTGCAGTTCACACAGTGTGTGTAACTCATAAAACAATACAAAAGATAACAGGAAACGTAAAATAGCAAGTGAAGCATTAAAAGAAATAAAGCTAGAAAGAAGGTCGTAGAGATGGAACAACACACAAATAAGAGGCCTTAATTAATGCAGATCTAATAAAAATACATTTTTAGGTTAAAAAAAAAACTTGGAGAAACCTAATCCTGAAAGGCTGAATGTTGGGTCGAGGTGGGGCGTGCTCGGGTCTGTATTTTTGTGACGGCACATAAAGAAGTCCTGTCAGCCTGCACAGTTTATGATTATGGGCAATGTGCATTTCTCTTTGGTTTGTGCAATAACATATTTTCACACAATTTAAATATCAGTCAAACCTGCTTCACAATGAAAAGGAAAAATCTAAATATTACTTTCAGTGGCATGGGAACCTTTAAACTAGCATGAACAAGTTCTTGTCAAGTACATTCTGACCCATATGTGCTAGGCTGAATTTACAACAACTGAAAAATAGGAATAAAAAAACAAAAAGTTGCAAATCTGTTTGCTTTCTCTTCTCTCCTCTATTACCCATTTGTTCAGTGACCATAGTTGGTAATTTTCCTGCTCTTATTCTCTGAATAATGACAAATTAAATCATATTACATTTTAACCTTGGATATTCATTGATGTGATAGCACAGGAAAAGAGAACTAACCAGCGTAAATCCATGTGGTACCATCAACCCTCCCATCTGTTACAGATGATGCATTATTTGTGGTAGCTGGCATGACAGAGTCAGTGCACTGGCCACAGTGAACAACCACAGAAACTACTGCACAGATTCAAAGCATGAGTCACCAGAGGACATGGCAACAGAGGATTGGACTTCTGATTGGCTGCAAATAAAAGAAAAAAATAGAAACAGCTTTTGGCTCTTGGTATTGGGACTCGTCTTAAGCACAAACTGATGACGGATGGTCAGAGTGTGGAACACAGTCTTCCCGTCTGGTTGACACTAAGTGGAACACAGTGTTCCAGCCAGCACAATACAAGCTGTGTTCAGCTGCAGAGCACTGACACACATACACTCACTCTAATTAAATACACAGCCGCATAACACAAGTATACATCTCTATGAATTACTGCTTGTTGTGAAGCTACAGTATCTAGTGTGCATCTGTGTTTCAGGAAGTATTAATGTGTGGATGCGATGGTGTAATTTATGAGCCGGTATTATGGAGTGGTGTAAAATCAGTCAGAGGACAGACTGTGACTGCGCATGTTGGCTTTATATTCATACCCCGGCAGTGTCTGATCCATATGGAGCACAGCAGCTAGCCCTGGCTGCTCTCTAGGTGGAACTCCATGGCTGCAATATCCAGCCTAGATCTAATTGTGAATGACTAATTATTCATTAGCAAATAAGAAGCAGTTAAAATGTGTATACGCGCCAATATTGGTTGAATGTAGACATTAATAGTAGTAGACATTTTACCCACATCAAGACACCAGGTATTGTTTATGTTAATTGCTCTGCTGTCTACCAGTGCAACGAGACAGCTCCCTACAAATAAACATCCTTGCTGTATTTCTGCTTTAAACCACCATCCTATTATCATCACACACATGCACCATCATTCAAAACACAACAGTTCAGAGTGTGTACTACTTTATGAAATGTGTCCACAACATGTTATGTTGGAACTATATGAAAAACTTGATAACAGATCATATGAGGCCAATATGACGGCTCAACGGAGGTGATATAACACTACAAAATGGCTTCATTTCATGTGGATACAGTGACATGAGTTTCTCTAACAAACTGAGAAATAGGACACAAACTGAGTATATAAGCAACACTGCAAGGGGATACAGATTCATCCCTGCTGTACTGCCAGGAATGCTAGCTGAAAATGCCTCTGAAACCAAAGATGATGTTAAACAGTTATGTAAAGCATTCAAGCCTGAACTTTTAGGACCCTCTTTTTAATCAGATCATTCAGGAATTGTTTTTTGGGGAAGATTTTAGATTATATATTTATATGTAACTGGTTTAAACCATTAAACTGAGATTCACTAACCTGCAAAACAGCAAACTGTTGTTATACACATTTTCTTATTTTCTAACAAAAATGTTCAAGTGAGATTGGACGTGTGAATATGTAAGAGTCCTGGTAGGTGGATTTAGTTGCCTTAGGACAGAGACAGACAAGCAGTGTTTTTGTTATTCTACACTAACTGGCTGCAGGCTGTTGCTTTATATTTACCACACATATGAAAGTCAGGGTTTCAGCTATACGTTCATGTTACGTAATCATGAAAGTGGTTAATCTTCTGCTCTATTAATCTAAGAAGTTTCCCCATTTGACTCTCCTCTATTATATTTCAGTAAGCTGTCATAAAGCTTTGACTTTTAATCTAAATTAAAATTAATCTGAAATGCACACAACACAACACAACCAACTAAACAAACACACAGTTTGTTGTCTCAAAACTTGTTGCATTTTACACATCACTGATGTTCTGGGAACACGCAGAGATTCAGAAAAAAGGTTTTACACCTTTGCCCTGATCTGTGCCACAGTTCTATCTCACAGGTGAGACCTTTCTTACACAGGGGTGTGTCATTCTAAACTATGGTCATTTCAGTTTGCTAGAGGAAAACTGAAGGCTACTTAAATCAAAGTCGAGTTGTCACAGCAAACGACCTGAATACTTGTGTAAATGAGAGATTTAAGCTTTTAATTTTCAATAATCACATTTTTAATATTCAAATCTGACTGAAGGCAAAACTGCAATTTTATCTATTAACTCTAAAACACAATAAAAGTGAATGTGTGAATATTCTGTGAAGCCACTGTATGTTGTCTGACACAGTTATATGGCCCTATAAAAGAAGTTGTTACAAAGCCTGATAATTATTGTGATTATTACCTGGTATGGTTGGTAAGTTGAATGGTCTGACAGGAAGTCCAGCTGTTGGTCTAACAAGAATTCCACTGCTGTTACCGACGACAACAGGCTCTTCCCCACCACTGGCTTAAATGCCTGCACACACAAAACACAGAAAATGGTCAGCAAAGACAAATGCAAAGTAACAATAATAGGGCAGCTTGTTTCTAAGAGTAATCTGATTAGAAATGTCACATCAGAAACAACTTAAGGCAAATGCTTTATACAGTTCATCAATTTCAAATAAATATGTAATAGAGAATACATGTATAAATTATTTTGGAGCTACAGTTTCCAATAAAAGAAACTATAAATATCACGGAATTGAAAAAGAGGACTGAAGGAAGAGGGATGAATGACGGAGCAACAGAAAAGATTAGAGGGGGGAAAATACAAGCGAAGACATGATGGAGGGGGGCAGAGAGGGATTGAGGAAAAAGAGTGGTGAATACATTAATGAGCAGAGGAAATCTGACAGTTCAAAGGCACTCCACTCCACTTTGATGTTGCTTCTTTTACATGCACACACACACTGATCATGTCTGTCAGCCTGCAGTCTTAGCTCAGCTGTTACTGCACATACAGCACAGAGAGCAGGCGGCACTGGCTTCTAAATTTCCTTCTCATATCTATGTGTGCTGATGTGACTGTGAGACAGCCACACGATTTACAGCTATATATATCAATGTGCAGAGGTTTTCTTATGATTTCTTCTCTACCACATCACTTTTTCTCATCTCCTTTAATGCATTTTGTCAATCAGTCTAAAACCAAGGAAGAAATACAGTGAGAGAAAACAGCCATAGCTGACAAGATAAATGCAAGCGGTGTGTGTGTAGAAGCGTTCTGTGCTGCCATGATTCATGGTTACATAAGTCTAATAGAGAGATGAGAGATGAGAGGTGAGAAACATGACCGCTGTGACCCCCTCCTCAGACACACACACACACATCCACAGGAGGCAGGAGGACATTGTGCATGCAAGCAAAACATGATAGCGTGTGTGTCTGCAGCTCTATTTCTGTCTGTCTACACATATCACATTTCCAGCCTACGGTGGCAGCATGGAGCTGGCAGCACAGGCCACACTGCCGGACTTTATTTTAGAAATTACTGGTATTTATTTTGGTAAGTCTCACTTTGCCTCTAGTGGTGGACTGTGTCTAAACCAGTGTCCCATTGTGGAGACTCATTAGGACAACACTGACAGTGAGTATGTTAACATAGAAACAAATATCCTACTTTTGATTATATTCAGGACATGGTTGCTTTATATCAATAACACGTTGGTTTGAGGGAAGCTAATCTGTCAAAGCAAGGGGTACGCTGAGGGCAGAAAGGCACTGTCATGCCAGACCTCAATGATATGACAAGCTGTTGCTTGTGGTGGATGACTTTGTATCACAAAAACTGTACATCTGCTGTTTACCTCACAATAGTCATGACAACAAATGAAATAACCTTCTTTCTCTCAATACTACAGGCAAGCATGCTGTATTCTGGTGTTAAATACATCTTCAAACTCTTATTTCGAACTTTAATCTAAAGGTCTCACCAGCACAGTCAAGTACACTTTGGTCAGGTTTGGCTTTAACCTGAATGCCCACTAAGAACTTACCCAGCTTCTAAACATATCCTAACATACTAGAGTAAAACCACTCACACAAACAATTTTGAGGATATTCACTAACTATAACACTTTACCAAATCCAAGGGAAATTCTCTCATGTAAACCTATCAAAAAACATAACAGTGTTTTGCTCTTTAAAGAAAGTCAGACTGAAAGCAACAGTGTGCTGAGACCAGGCAGCAGAGGAGACAAGTCTCTCCTGTGAATGCTGCTGTCATGACCTGAATCTATTGCAGATGGATGATGGGAAAGATAGGTGCGGAGGAGAGACAGTGCAGAAGCACCATGGAACCTTGACATGGTTTACGGCAGGTTAAATCAGAACACATAAGGGAGGCTCGGCTACCATGGTTACCACTGAAGGCCCAGCAGGCTGATCCACCTCTGTTAATATGATGCGTGACAGGTCATTGAAAAAGAGAACAACTCAACACTGTCTACATACATAAACATTTGTATTTTTAATTACTGCATCACATCACCACTATGTGTGTGTGTGTGTGTGTGTGCGTGTGGTACCTGGAGTTGTTACATTATATAAAAAAACTATTTTCCATCAGAAATAATATTTGCATCTTTGTCTGCTGTGGGCCAACAACAAAAAGATGAAAGCCCATTCAAGTCTACTGAATTCCCTCCATACCAGATATTTGAGCAAAAGTAGACCCTGTGCCAAAAATGAATGAAGAATGGACCAGTCTACGATGCAATGCACATTACCACAAAAGTATCTCCAGTCACAATCCATTCAACTCTGACATTCAGCGTGAATCAATTAAGCTACAGAAAGACAAAAAACTAAATAAATAACAAAGCTTAAAGTTCCTATCGTACATCAAATCAAACATCTATGGTCACTGACAGATGTCAACAGATGGTGACAACATGAAACTTCACAGTATGAATTTATTATTTGATTTTTAACAACTTCAAACACAGAGCTTGACTACCATCTGTGGATCTCTGCTCTGATTCCTCTCAGACTGAAAGGAAATGACAGTTCCTCCATTCCCTTTAAAATGACTTGTCCATTCACACACATATACACACACACACACACACCACTCAACCACAATTAGGTCACATCTGTCACAGTTTGCCAGGAAAAAACATTCTGTCACTGTGTATTTCCAGACGTGCAGCAGGGAGACGGACAGACGGATGAGAGACACACTCACTTGCTCAGAACAAAACACAAATTAACACTAGTGGATTTACGAGAAGTAAATGCACACAAATATCTTTACGAAGACAACCAAAGATGAAATGACAAATCATATCTCCACACAAGCTCCTAGCAGCCATTATAAAAGAGCAGATCAGTCTCCATGAGCCATATCCTCCACTACCCTGTGTGTGGACACACGTGTGTGTCGTGAATTATTGATAGGGAGAAGTGCAGCAGAATGTGAAGGAAATAAAAAGGGGATGATGGAGCTCATGCATCACTAAGTGACCTAGACAGAGATATTACACAGACCTACCATTAGTTTCATTGGGTCTATCTCTAATGTGAGCCACTAAATCCCAGACATTCTTTATGTGCCACCAAATGTAGTTTCTTTCCAGGAGTGGGTGGTGGTGATAAATTTAATAGCTTTGTTGCTACTTCTTTAGGGCAGGCTGGATGCTACAGTGATGAGCCACGCCAACTGACCCAAGGCTAGCATTATAACATCAATAGAAGCAATGAAGTGATAGAAGTAAAACAAGAGTTAATATTGGCGATGCTCTCCACCACTGGAGACATTGTGCTGTTGGAACTCTAATGAGCAGAGAGAGAAAACAGCCCACTCAGCTCCAAAGGAGGAAATACTGAAACACTAATTATGTATCCTATGTCTACACTTTGAATATTATTTGATAAGCCATATGTAAAACACTGACTCATTCAAAAACAATTTTAGTTGCCATGTCATTACCAGTCCTGCATTCACCCCAGATCCATTCAAAAAGACCAGTGTGACTGTTTCACAGGTGTGGATGAATGATTAGCAATTTGTGTTGATGTTACAGACATGATTGAAAACACTTTGGGTTTTTTAAACTGATGAATGTTTCCTGAGAATAAAGACAATGTGGTAATGTTAAATGCATGTTCCCAACAAAAACACATTTGACCATTTCGATAATTTCATATCATTCTTCCACAACCAGCAGAACACGTCTAAATTAGTCGAGGACTTTCAGGCTGTGTAACAGCTCTGCACTGATGAGCCTTGTTCTCTAAATAGGTCACAGCACAACAGCTCCTTTCCTAGACACACAGACACAGACACACAGAGACAGGTGTTCTCATCTGCTTATTGCTCTGAGGGTAAATGACCGGAGTTGTCAAAAAACAGATGAGTTTCCATATACTCTAAACCCATCCCCAAACATAATCGCTGCTGCCCTACCCCTAACATAATTGTGAGGGAGGTTTTCTGGAAGCTGGTGAAAGGAGAAGTCAGGCAGCAGCTGATCTTATTCAGAAGATTTGAATGTAGACTTGATGCATCAAGGAGACTAGAAGGTGAGAACCAGAGGGTGGCCGGTTCAAGTCCAGCATGGACGAAGTATGAAAGGTGGATTGGTAGTTGGAGATGTGCCAGTTCACCTCATGGGCACTGCCGAAGTGCCCTTGAGCAAGGCACCGAACCCCCCAATTGCTCCCCTTCATGGCTGCCCACTGCTCTGTGTGGTCACTGTGTGTTTTGTGTTCCGTGTGTGCTGTGTTCACACAGGTTAAATGCAAAGGTCAAATTTCCCCATGTTGCATGTAGTGCTGTGTGTGCATGATTGTGGGAATCTTAATCTTAATCTTACATCTTGCCACTAGTGAAATACGCAAAAGAGTTGAAGTTGAAGTTGAGTTGAAGTTGGTGCAGATATGAAAGTCCCTGAGCGTAGACACTAAAATGCACTGTTAGTTGGTCCTTTATCTATAACCTGACCTTGTGCAGTGCTTAGAGAGAGAAGGGAGTAGGCACTCTTCTCTTAGTGATGTACAGATATAATGTAATATACATTATATGCATAATACAGTATATGTGGCATATTCAGTAATTTGTCAGGATATTCAAAAATTCCCTAAATAACCTATACATAAACCATTTGACTTATTATAATTAGCTTGTGATCAATCAAACACAAATATACTCTTTCCACAGCACTGTTTCAAAGAAATACATTACAATAGCATCGAATCATGTGGCACTAGAGATATACGGTATAAAAACTTTCTATCATGATCATAGTGACAAAAATGATCTAGATGCAATGTTGCAAAAGTGGATGTTAGCATTTGTGAGCTATGGCCAGAGATTACTGCTGTTACTGTCCCCACCAGCCTGCCGCTCCTTCCACCATATTACTTACTGACTTTGGTTGATGCTGGACAGTATCAACCAAATCATCATGGTATGATTTTGGCAGAAGTGTGCCTGCATGTGCTAGGCCCTCCATCAGGTGCATGGCTGAGTGG